TGTTTTGGTTTTTTTAAACTGTTGCCCAGGGGAATCAATAGGAGTCTATAAGAGGGGCCATGTGCAATTTAGAAGGTATACTAGCAACTAAGGGGGGAAAACCACAGTAAATGAGTGGGTGGTTTAAAAAAAAAAAAACAATCTGGATTAATCTGATTTAAACTGAAAAAAGGTTGTAATATTTCTGTATCAAAATCATTAAATAGGAAAGTTATGCATGATACGAATAGTGCCAACAAACCTGCTAGCTACGTGCTATGCCACAACTTCCAACGTAACTCTGGCCAAGGGAAAACCCTCAGTGTTAAAACACACACATCAAAATCCAAATTTCAGCACAAAAGCACGTACAGAGACAAGTGGGCTTTTATAGACATGTGTTAAAGGCTAACATACCTGTACAAAATCACAGAACTGAGCCCAACAAGGCAAACAGTTCAAAGTTAACTAAATGGGGATAAAATTAATTTAGTGCTGTACTACTCTATAGTTGGGCAAATAAAAAACAGTTACCTACCTTTCGTAACTGTTGTTCTTCGAGATGTGTTGCTCATGTCGATTCCAATTAGGTGTGTGCGCGTGCCGCATGCACAGTAGCCAGAAGGTTTTCCCCCTACCAGTACCCGTCAGGTCAGCTCAGGTACCCCCTGGAGTCACACCTCCATGGTGCCGTATATAGGGCCCTGCCAACCCACAGCCACTTCAGTTCCTTCTTGCCAGCACTGCTCGAACAGAGGGGTAAGTAGGTGGGTCCTGGAATGGACATGAGCAACACATCTCAAAACAACAACCGTTAAGAAAGGTAGGTGACCGTTTTTTCTTCTTCGAATGCTTTCTCATGTTGATTCCAGTTGGGTGACTCCCAAGCAGGAGGCGGAGTCGGAGGCGGAGTCAGAGCTCATGGATTTGTTAATTGGAGCACTGCTCTGCCGAAGGCAGCATCATCTCTAGCCTGCTGGGTGATGGCGTAGTGCAAGGTAAAAGTGTGGATTGAGGAAGTCACAGCCCTGCAAATTTCCTGGGTCGGAACCTGGGCCAGGAACGCCGCTGATGCTGCCTGCGCTCTCACAGAGTGCACTGTCAGCGGGGGGGGAGGGGGAGGGGAAGGTATTTTCACCAATCATAGCATGTCTGGATACATAATGTAATCCATGATGAAATTCTTTGAGAAGAGACTGGGAGCCCCTTCATTCTGTCTGCTGCTGCACCGAATAGTTGGGTAGATTTCTGAAATGCCTTCGTCCATTCGATATAGAAGACTAACACCCGGCGAACATCCAAAGAGTGAAGTTTTTGTTTGCGTGTGTCTTAGGATGAGAGGCTGGAAGAAACAATGGCCTGATTAACATGAAACTGGGAAACAACCTTCGGGAGGAAGGCTGGGTGTGGCCAAAGCTGAACCTTGTCCTTATAGAAGACTGTGTAAGGAGGCTCAGATGTTAGGGCCTTAAGCTCGGACACCCTCCTCGCAGATATTATTGCCACCAGAAACTCTACTTTCCATGAGCGAAAGAGCAAAGAGCATGTCGCAAGTGGTTCAAAAGGGAGCCCCCATTAGTCTGAAAAGAACAAGGTTAAGGTCCCAGGCTGGGATCGATTATTATACTTGAGAATATAGCCTGTCAAGTCCTTTAAGAAAGCATCCAACTATTGGACTGGCAAAGACCGACCAGGCTGGCACGCCTGGGTGAAAGGCGGAAATGGCAGCCAAGTAGACTTTTATTGATGACATAGAAAGCCCTTGCTGCTTCAGGTGCAGAAGGTAGTCCAAGATAAAAGGTATTGTCGAGTGCGTAGGAGATGTATGTTTCTGCAATGACCGAATTGTGACTCTCTCCCATTTGGTGGTCCCAGTAGACGGTTTCCTACTGCCAAGGAGGACTTCCCTAACTGGATCAGAGCAAGCAACCATTGGGTTTAGCTATGGAGCTTCTAAGCTGTGAGGTGGAGATATTTGAGGTTGGGGGGCTGAAGACAGCCATGGTCCTGAGTTATCAGGTCCAGGAGCAGTGGTAGAGTGATTGGAGTTTCCACTGACAGAAGAGACGTGTACCAGTGCTGACAGAGCCAGGCCGCAGCTATCAATATTACCGAAGCTTCGTCCCTCCGAACCTTGAATAGTGCCTTGTGGACGAGTGGAAATGCGTAAAGGAGGTTGTCTTTCCAGGGAAGAAGGAACGTGTCCGCGATTGGGCCTAGGCTGTGATTCAGGAAGGAGCAGAACTGCGGACACTTCCTGTTGTGTCAGGAATACCCTAACAGCACACATTTACAAAGTTTTAGTCCATGCAAATGCTTATGGTCTCATCCCAAGAGGCTACTAACCTTACAGTAACTGTTGTTCTTCAAAATGTGTTGTCAGCACAGATTCCATTCTTGGTACGCATGCACTCCATGTGCGTGAGACTGTATTATTTTTGATTTGCAGTGTCCATTGAGGCACTGCTCTCTGGAAGCTCTTCCAGAGCTGAGGGAGTAAATGGTGGTGCAGGCCCACCACTCAATTCCTTCACCAATCCAGAATCGCACAGGAGCAGGACTCCAATAAGGAGGATGATCATGGAATCTGTGTGGACAACACATCCCAAAGAATAGTAGTTACTTTAAAGTAAGTAACCATTTTTTGAGATGTGTTGTCCACAGAGATTCTGCTCTTGGTGCCTCATAGGCAGTTGTCTAATTGCTTGGAGGCAGGCAAGAGGACTCCTACTTGAATAGTGATTATAGGACAACCTTAGCAAAGTTGGCATCTGATCTGGAAGCCCACACTAGAGAATAGTGAGAGGTAAATGTGTGGACTCAGCTCCAAGTTGATGTTCTACATATATCAGATACGGGAATGCTACCCAAACAGGCAGTAGGGCAACTTGGAGCCTCGCAGAAGGAGATCCAATACAAGTAGGCAGATCTTTCTTGGCTAGCTAATAAGACCTTATGAAGTTAAAGACTCACTTACACAACCTCTGAGTGGAAAAAGGTCTGCCTTCCACTTTGTCAGCAAATGCCATGAATAGCCTAGATGTGTTCCTGAAAGTTCTAAATATTTATTTATTTAGATCGGTGTTTCTCAACCTGCGGGTTGTGACCTCTGGGGGAAGGTTAGGAGGGTTGCAAGTGCAGGGCCAGCATTGGGGCTGGTGAGCAGGGCAACTGCCCAGGGCCCCATGCCACAAGGAGCACTACAAAGCTAAGCTACATGCTTCAGCCCTGAGCGGCAGGGCTTGGGCTTCAGACAAAGGCTCACAAGTGAAAAACAGGCTCAAGTATCGCACTGAAATGTAAGTACAATATTTATATTCCAATTTATTTATTTTATAATCATATGGTAAAAATGAGAAAGTAAGCATTTTTTCAGTAATAATGTGCTGTGACATTTTTGTATTTTTATGTCTCATTTTGTAAGCAAGTAGTTTTTAAAGTGAGGTGAAACTTGTGCTATGCAAGACAAAGACTCCTGAAAGGGGTACAGTAGTCTGGAAAGGCTGAGAACCACTGTTTTATGGATTAGGCACAGAGGGACACATAACACACTACTATTCACTAGTTAAAACAGAATACTGGTGATCACCAATCGTGGATTCTATTTCTGGCTCTGGAAGAGGAGTGTGATTTATAGTGGTGAGAGATGGAATAATGCAAAGTACTTTAGTCACTCTGAATAGCAGTATAGTGTAGTGAATACTCGGGATCTGTACCTGCATTGACCTTGCATAAGCTTCCTGCTAGCTTATTTATAAAGACAGGGTGAGGGGAGAGTTCAGAAGCTCTTTCATAGTTGTCTTCAAGGCTGGGGTTCATGGTCTTACTAAACTGCATGAGAATTTAAACAACATTTAGGAGAAGCAAAGGAAAACGTCTTTCTTTCTCCCCATCACCCTTGCTGGATGTGAGTTATGGTGTTCATGCTACAGTAGATTTGTCATCAAATTAAAATTGAGCCGGTTCACATTGGCACACATGTTTTCCATTATGGCTGAAGAGTTATAAAATACTCTACAGGCAAACACTATACATGTATAACTGATATTCTAGGAATCAGCACAAGGTACAACAATATAGACATGGGACAGGTCCTGGAGTGATTTAGATTTCTTTCAAAAGGGGTACAAAGAAAGACAGTGAAGTAAGAAGTTACAAAAAGGGGCGATGTTTAGACTTATTCTCTGTATGGATTCATTTTTCACCAAGTGACTATGAAAATTCAAAGAGAGCTCAAAGTTTATATTTTGTGTATAGTCTTTTCCCATTGCAATGAGATTTGTACAATATAAAGATTTAAAGCTCCTGCTAAAACTCAACTCTAACACTAGCTTAACTATGGTACAGGTGCTGTTGCATTGTAACATCAAGAATCCTGGAAGTTTTCTCCACTTCTATGTACACTGCTTATATCTTAACCTCTTCAGGGCAGTCCTTGATCTGTATACTATGTCTTGTACAACACTGAGCACATTTTTATTAAATAATTTAATAATTACATCAAACAGCAAATAAGGAGCATATACAGATGTGCCACCAAAGTTATAAGGGCTTCTCTACACTTGAAACTCTACAGCTGTGGTGCTTCAGTGTAGATACTAACTATGCTGATGGGAGGGATTCTCCCAATGGTGCAGGTAATCCACCTCCCTGAGAAGAATCCATCAACCTAGTGCTGTCTACACTGGGGTTAGGTCAGCTTAACTATGTCACTCAAGGGTGTGGATTCTTCACACCCCTGAGCAACGTAGCTGGCTTGATCTAACCGTTTAGTGCACACTAGGCCTAAGAAATTCAGTAAAGTATGTAATTAGGTTACTACAATAAAACAAGTTCAAGGAAACTAGCCCATAACAGTGGTCCAAGCTGTACAGAAGCCAATGAATTATTTTGCTACTGTATGCTGTCATTTGTAGTCACACTCTAAACGAAAAATTGTGATTTGCGTGATGCTATTGTAATTACGGCTTTGGGACTTGGTATTTATGCATTAATAATTCTACAAATAATATATTACCTACCTTTTTTAAGCCAGCAAATCCTTCTGATTCCAGAAAGAAGAAGGCAAAGGGCATCAACACAAATAAACAAAGATTGGAAAAAAGGGAAGCAAGATTCCACAAACCTGAAACAAATAAGAAGAAAATATTTACATTACTTTTCAAAACTGAAGACTCTTTAAATAATACTTATTAAAATTCCTGATGTCGCTATACTGCCTTTCAACTAGGTAGGCTTTATACAGGTAAATACAGAGCATGTATAATCTTTTATATTTATATATAAATTAAGATCTGACATATACATAAGATTCATATAAACCATCACTGAAAGGCAGCAACCTCAATGACTTTTGGCTTAAAATTTAATACTGCCTTACCTAATTGAAACTGTTGGGAAGTTTTGAAGACAGGCTGCAATAACTAAAACTGTATTTTTCTACAGTATCCTTTCTTGTGAAGAGTGACCAGGGATTTTTAAGCTATAAAGATAGTTCTTTAAAATGTATTAATACGTTTCCAAGGGCCATATTTACAAAGGTGTTTGGGGCCTAAGCAATGAGTGTTAGACACTTAATTCGGGCACTTTTATACATCCGAATATGTACTTACCTGCATCTTTACATGCTTAAATGCCTTTGTATATTTCAACCCAATAGCCTAGTGCTCAAGCAGCTTCCTGAACACCAGCACAATACTGATTCTAAGGTAAGTGTCACCTGCTGAATGACTAACCCCATTTCCTGCAGAATACTGGGTTTTTCTTTGAAGTGTTCCATTTGACATCAAATAGCAACCCTGAATTGCTTACTTTGTGAAACCTGAAGAGATTATACCTCAAAATGGTACAGTTTCATGCTACACATCATTTTTAAGCTGTCTATACACAATAATAATTTCCAGTACACGGTCTCATCCAGCACGGATTCTTGGAAGGCTCAGTTCTACTCCCTCTCCTATTCTTCCCTTTAGAGGGGACTGAGGCACAACATACTTTAATGCCAGCAATACACAGATAACACCATCTCTGCATCAAATGCAGATATTGCCATTTTACCCGTGTCTAACTGAAATCAGCAGCTGGCTAAAACAGAACAAAGGCAAGGCAGAGGCGGTGATGGTTAGAAGGACTGAAGGGATTACCCTAGACCTCCACTTGGGCATCTGTGCAATAATCAAGATTTTGCAAAGTCTCCGAGATCTTCTGGACAAAGTCACTGGTGATTAGACACATTTCTCCACTACTCTCATCTCCAGCTGGGCAGGACACTGTGTTCCTCCTTCTCGTGTTCTGACTTACCCACAGTCTACCCAGACTACAGTTACCAATAAACTTGACTACTACTAAACACATTGCACTTGGGGATGAAAACTGAAGCCACAAGGCAGCTGCAGTTGGGTCTCATTTAAGAAACACAGGCTGAGAGGAAAACCTTACTCCAGGGCTTTGCATGCTCTCCAACCTCCACCAATACAGCACGCACTTCAAAATCCTACTCTAGATCTCCCAAGTCCTAAATGGGCTGGGGAATCAACTCCCAGGAATGGACTATATTGTTCCACAACCCAGTATGAGAGCAATGATCAAACAGAGTGTGTCCAGAGAGTGAGGCTTCCAGGGACAAGAATCTTTATGGCACACTCATATTTGAAATGCCATTCCTTAAGTAACAGATTGAGCTCAGATCTTACCACCTTTATAGTGACATAGAAAAGTAGGGCTGGAAAGGACCTCAGGAGGTCATCTAGTCCATACCCATGTGCTGAACACAGGATTAAGTCTTCCTACAACAAAAGAAGAGTGATGGCATGAACATCATAGTGATGTTTAAAGTGGGGAGCTATGGAAAAAAGCTCAGTCTTTTGAAATGGGTTTCTAGATTTTATTCTCAATTTTACTAGTGCCAACACACCACAGCAATGGGTACACTAAATATACACACTTCAAATGTGAACTACTGTATGATAGAAACATAACTCAGTCTTTCAAACATACCTACTCTCACAGTGGTAATTTCAAAAATGAAAAATTAACATTTTAGATGACGTTTCAACATTATAATTATTACCAGAAGTCTTCTGTAAGATATTTTCAGTATACTTACTTGTATTTACTACACAATGTTGTTATATGGTTATATGGTTATATGGAAACTGTTTTATTTGCAATGAAACATAAGAGCTTTTACTGAACAGTCATATGGAACTTAATTCCTACATCAGTTGCTGTAAAAGGCAAACTTATTTTACAATGATTTTCATGATCCCATAAGTATCATTGTACAAAGCAAAAATGATTTTTCCATACATTTCAAATGTTTATATTAGTGGTTCTCAACCCGAGGCCTGCGGACTGTGGCCCAATCAGCGCATAGCTGCGGCCCATGTGCAATCCTCAGAGCCATTCAGGTAGTATATATATTATGTGGATACAGCCCACATAACAGAGAGAGCTCCATATGTGGCCCACAATGGTAAATAGGCTGCGAACCACTGATTTATATTTTAACATGAAACTAAGCTAGTGTTCTAACAAAACAGATAAGACATTGACTGAGCCCTTCTAACCAACAATGGCTTGCTCTCAGTAGCATTTTCAGTCTGACAGCTGATTATATGAGGAGAAACAATATATTTCTTACCATAAGAAGTTACTCACCTTGTGCAGTAATGATGGTTCCTCAAGATGTGTCCCCCTATGGGTGCTCCACTGTAGGTGTGCTTGCCTCCCTGCGCTGCTGATCAGAGAACTTTGGTAGGAGTGTCTATTAGGCCCGCACATGAGTCCTCTCTCCTTGTGCAGCACCACGAGGCTAGCCAGCATGCATGGGCTAACCCTCCTCAGTTTCTTCCCTACCGCACAGTCAGACAAGAACTCCGAAGTAGAGGGAAGGAGGGCGGGTTGTGGAGCACCCATACAGAGACATATCTCGAAGAACCATTGTTACTGCACAAGGGGAGTAACTGAACTATTGAGGCGAAGAGGGCATCAGAGGCATTGTCCCCAGTGATCATATAGTGTTCTGCGTAAGTGTGGACTGACACCCATGTCGCTGCTCAACAGATCTCTGAGATAGGGACATTCTTGAAGAAGGTGACGGATGAGGAGATGGACCTTGTGGACTGTGCACGAACAGAGCCTGGAAGGGTCAAGCTGCAAACTTGATAGCACTGTCTGACGCAATTCGAGACCCACTTGGAGAGCTCTTGGGCTAATACTGCTGAGCCCTTGGATCTTTCCACAATGGAGAGGAAAAGCCTAGGGGACTTCCTGAAGGCTGTTGTCCTGTCCAGGTAGAAGGTCAGAGTTCTCCTGACATCTAGTGTATATAAAATATAGCTTCCCTGTTGTCTTGGTGCGGCTTGGCGTAGAAGATTGGAAGGTGAATCAATTGATTCATGTGAAATGGGGAGGTTACCTTAGGGATGAATTTTGGATGGGGTCTGAGCATAAACTTGTCCAGAAAAAATACCATGTAAGAGGGATGTACCATCAGAGCCACAATCTCTCCTATTTTCCTGGCCGAGGTAATTGTTATCAAGAAGGGAGTTTTCATTGATAGGTACAGCAGTGAACAGGTGGCCACGGGTTCAAAGGGAGGCCTACTCAGTCCTTTCAGTACCACGTTTAGATCCCACGAGGGAGTAGGGAGTCGAAGTTGAGGCAAGAGATTTACTAAAACCTTGAGGAACCTCGTAGGTGGTTTGGTGTGACAGAACTTAGTACCCCTCCTACAGGTTGGTGGAAAGCTGTTATAGCTGCCAGGTGAACCCTAAGAGAGCTTAGCGATAGGCCCGACCTTTTTAGGGTCAAAGCATAATCTAGGATCTGTGGAAGAGTTGCACATGTTGGGGAGATTTGTTGGGACATTCACCAAATCTGAAACCTGAACCATTTTTGCAGGTAAGTACACTGCGTCGAGGACTTTCTACTGTGTAATAGAACCTCTTGTACCACTCTTGAACAGGAGCTTTCTAGGTGTTGGAACCAAACAGAAGCCATGCCCTGAGGCGGAGAATCCCCAACATGGGATGTAGGGTACATCTTCTGTCCTGCGAGAGGTGTGGAATGTCTGGGAAAGGATTGGCAGGCACATCACAAGCTGTGACGGTACCAGGTCTGTCTCAGGAAATTAGGAGCAATCAGGGAGCTCCATCCCTGTTTATCTTCAGCAGGACCTTCAACACTAGGGAAAATGGGGAAAAGACATAGAGAAGGTCCCTGTCCCAGGGAAGAGGAAAGCATTGCCCAAGGAGTGTTATCCTATCCCCACCCTGGAGCAGTAGTGTGGACATTTCTGGTTCTGGTGAGTGGCAAACAGGTCTGTGAACGGTGTCCACCATCGTCTGAATAGGTCGTGAAGTACTGTCGGGTGCATCTCCCACTTGTGGGAATTTGCGACTTAAGATTGTCTGCTATCAAGTTTTGTGCACCCAGGAGGTAAGCCGCAGACAGTGTAACATTGTGGGAGATGCACCAATTCCATAGCCTCATCACTTCTACACATAGAGAGGGTGACCTGGCTCCCCCTTGTCAATTGATGTAGTACATACAGGCTATGTTGTCTATTAGGATCTTTGTGTGTGATCCTGTGATCAACAGGAAGAAATGGGCGCAGGCATTCCTGATCACTCTTAGCTCAAGGAGATTGATGTGAAGGGATATCTCCATGGGCGACCATTTGCCTTGTGTTGTGAGGCCGTTTAGATGTATGACTCACTCTATGAATGATGCGTTGGTGGTGAGGAGCAATGATAGTAGTGTCTGCGAGAAGGGGATCCCCTT